AGAAAGAAAGAAAGAAAGAAAGAAAGAAAGAAAGAAAGAAAGAAAGAGAAAAAGAAAGAAAGCTGGCAGATAGCCTGACTCCCCTCATCAGCATGAGGTGGGGGGCGGGATACCTCAGACGTGAGAGCTTACATTCAGAAGAAACTCAGGGTTGGTGTGGGATACAGTCAAAATGAACACGGAAGTGATTGAGGGTGAAGGGGGATCTGAAGAGGTGTTCATCACCAGCGAGCTGGCCACACAGACAGAATGTGCAGTCGGGAGCCCATTTATTTAAACCCTGCTGCTCTATCACAGCAGGACACAGCAGGTTCCAGCGTTCTTGGCTGGCAAGCCAAGCCCAGCAGTCTACCACGGCACAGACACCATCCCTGACAAGTGGAGTTCGAGCTACTCTTTCCAAAGTTTGTTTTACCGGGGGTTTTGTAGGCCTGTATTTATAGGGCAGAATCATTAGGTACCCCCCCCCTTCCTATAATGGCCCTCACTAAGAGGGAAGGAAGGCCAGTTCAAGGAGATAGCCATAGCTTTCGTCCTCAAGAAGCAGAGCAGGGCAGTAATCCACAGGAAGATACAGCAGAAAATGATGCCTGGAGTTGGAGCTGAACCCACTTGGGGAGCCATAAGGGTACTGGAGTCTAGTAAGGCTTCAGGTGGGGCTGCCTGAAGGTGAAGCAGGAAGGGGTCAGTGGAGCAAGAGAGACAATAGACTCCACAGACTTAGGGGCATAAGAGAGAAGAATGTGTCTGCAGGGGAGGTGAGTCAGGCGCACAGGGTGTGGAGGAGGAGGATGGGACCCCATGATGTGAGTGATGCTTAAGAGGAAGTCTCCATCTTGTTACAGATGCTTCCTGTGACCTTGTTGAAGGATGAGTGTGTGTGGAGACAGGGAATGAGCTGCTTGCTCCAGGCTGAGGAGTCAGGGTGGGGATAGGGCGTAAGAGACGCTCCCTCTGAACTTCTGGTTTTCCTGTTAGATAGGATCAGAATTCTATCTATGTCAGAGCTGTTGAGAAAATCCAATGTGTGAGTACACCATGTCATAAAGAAGTGTGTGTAGCACAGGTACAAGCTCCTGAGGTGCAGTAGCATTTGGTGACTCGGCTATGGAAAGTTGAGTCTTCTAGTCCAAGACGTCAGCTTGGAAGACACTCCTCTTGTCTAGCAAGAACATCCAAGAGAAAGGCAAGCACAGGACAAGGAGCGAATTCCGCTTGAGGCCTGTCGGTTGGGATTCCAAGTGTCTCGGTCAACGTGTAAATCCACCGGCGAGGTTTAGAGAATGAGGAAGATAGAGGATTAGGAGAAGGAAACAGAGACAGCCACTCACTGAGAGAGCTGAGCAGAGTCAGGCCAGATGGAGACTAGGAGAGAGTCACAGCATCAATCAAAGCAGAGAAGCGGAGAGGACCAGACACCACAATCCTCACGGTCCAGCCCCACACAGCTGATCGCAGGCTAACCCTGCCCTGCTTGCTGTATCCTCAACCTCCAGCTATGAATCCCACACAACGCCTGTGCTGCTTTTAAATCTTACAGCCAGATGCACAAGACGCATCCTTTGTCTGTCTTCAAACATAAAGAATTAAACAGAATGAAGACGAAGGTCCTAAGACTTTGCTGTGTTGTTACAGATGACTGTTCAGTTCCCCACAGTTGCATCAACAAGGTTTCTGCCCCATACATATTAATATGAACAGACATGGTGTTATCAGGCTGGGGATTTTCTTAGAGCTTCTAAAACTACTGTAGGATTGGGCATGCTCATACACCCTCCTGGAACACCAGAGACAGTTTACTCTAGGTTGTGCTTAGCAGCGGAGTCTCTGGGGCACTGAAGTATAGCTGTGCTTTTTGTGTTTGCTGCCCTGGTGTTTTGTTTTGAGGTAGGGTCTCATGTAGTCCAGGCTAGCTTCTGACTCTCCATGTACTTGAGGATGCTGGGATGAGGGGTATGTAGGCCACTACGCCTGAATTAATCGTCGTGGGGTCAATGATGAGACTTCATGCATCCTGAACAAGCACACTGCAGAGCCCAGAATGTCCACTAATAACGCCAAACTGGTTTCCTACATGTCTGTGCCAATTTAGGCCCATCAGAAGGGAGTGAGGTCTTGTTTTTCCTCTACAGTTTCATCCGTTCTGAGATGGCTTTGTAACTTCCACCAGTCTGGTGAGTGTGAAGCAAATCAGTTCTACAATTATCCATCAGTTATCAATCAACACAGCACACCGACCAGCTTTGTTGTTATTGTTGTAGGTTTTGTTGTTTGTCGGGCAATTTTTGTTGTGGTGCAAAAATCCTCTTTTCACAGACCCAGACAGTGTAGACCAGCTTCTGGACTCAAGTGAGATGCAGTGAGCAGGAAGTACAAAAGCCAGTTGCCGGTGTAAACAGCCTCCCTTTGTGAGTTAAAAGATCTAACCCCAACAGCAGAGAGTTCAGTGGAGGGGCTAGAGAGAGATGGTTCAGCAGAAAAGATAGTTCCTGTCAAGCCTGGTGATGGTGACTGAGTTCTATCCGTGATAGAGGAAAAGGGACTCTAGCAACTTGTCCTCTGTTCTACACAGGTGATGCTCTGAAGTCAGCTGAGCCAGGTGTGATTGTATCTGTACAGAATCCCCACACTCAGAGGCTGAGGGAGGAGAACCATTGAATTTGAGGCAAGCCTGGGCTACATGGACTGCCCCATGGTTCAGTGGTTGAAGGCTTGCCTGATACACACAAGGGCCAGACTTCCATGCCAAGCACCACAGACAATGCCAAAACACAAACAAAAAGCCAGTTGGGTGGGACCCACTTAGGCAAGGCTTGGAGCAGGACCAGAGTCAGGTAATTCACCTTGAGTCTGCACACAGAGCACCAGCTGAATGACTCAATGAATGGGCTGGGGACCCAGCCAGGCAGGTTTAGAAAGCCTGCTCAGCAGAGATCACACTGGAGAGGTCACAGGAGAAGTCCTCTCAGGGATGAGGGCTGCTGGAAAGCAGGTATAGATGAGTTCGCGGTTGGGTGGAATCCCAGAGATCGGGGAGGGAGGGCATCACCGTAAGGGGTCACATGCAGGCTGCTCAGTGTGTGGGGGTCTCAAATCCCAGGAGAAGCTTGACTGCAGCTGCCTTTCCCCTTTCTACACACGAATTAAGATGCATAAAATGCAGGATGCTGACTTGCTTTTATTGTTTGTTTGCTTGTTTGTTTGTTTATTTTTTGGTTTGGGTTTTTTTTGGTTTTTTGTTTGTTTCTTTCTTTGTTTTTCAAGTTAGGGGTTTCTCTCTGTAGCCCTGGCTGTCCTTCTAGAACTCAATTTGTAGACCAGGCTGGCCTGGAACTAGGAATCCTCCTGCCTCTGCCCAGTGACTTCCCGTAAGGGATGTGACGTTTATTAATATTTTTGTTCCATCTTCGACAGTTTCACACATACACATAATGTCTCTTGATAACGGCCCTGCACCCCTTCCCCACGGCCCTGCACCCCCTTCCCCACGGCCCTGCACCCCCTTCCCCACGGCCCTGCATCCCCTTCCCCACCTCCTACCTGCCACTAAAACATGTCAGCCTGTCCACTCTGGTCTTCCTGTCTGGTTATTTATTTTGGTAAA